CCGCGAGTTTGATCGGGAGCTAGATGACGGGGGATGGGCGCCCCCGGAAAATGCAGTGTGGAAGTCACTAGTAAAGCAGATCCAGGTGGTGAAGGAAGCCATAGATGGGGCAAGTGGTGATGAAGATAAGGATAAGGAGGTAGCTGACGCCTGGGAGCGTATGTGTGCAGTGGTCCGGGGTGCTGGACAACAGATAGGAGACAGGCGCTCATTGGGAGAGCTATTGTGGAAAAAGGAGAGAGAGCATGCTAGGCTGAGGGATGAAGCAGCACGTAAGAGAGAGAGAGCTAATCTGATGCAGATGGGGAAGTTGAGAAAAGAGAGAGATATGCATGAGAGGGAAAGGAGGGAGTGGGCGAGGTTAGCCCTATTTTGGCAGGAGACAAACCACTTCCACAGTGAGGAAAAGGAGGAGTGTAAGTCGCTCCCTCCTGCAAAAGAAACACAGATAGATTGTGAGGACCCTCCCTCGGCATATACAGGTCAGAGGGCGTTCTCAACAGCGCCCCCGGCCCATGGGTCCCCCGTGATTAATGTCACAGGAGGAACCCTCCATGTTCACACATACGCGATTCAGGAAGTCTCAGACGACCTTAAGGAACTACAGACACAGTTGCTGAAGCTGCAGGTGGGCGAAGCGAGGCGAAAGGCTGGGGAAGGGGTGCTCCGCAAAGGGGACCGCCGTCAGGTGTCTGTTACAGGTGCGGGGTGGAAGGACACTGGGCCAGGATTTGCCCAGCAGCGGTCCCAGCCAGTGTCCATGGCAGGGGAGGCCCTCTTGGAAACCAGGTGATGGCCCCCAACCCCCAAGCGGCTCCCACGGCAGGACAATATCCGGCAGTGGAGGCAGGGGAGTGGGACTCGTACCCCTCCTCACCGTGACAGTTCCCGCGAGCGGCCCGGGACACAGGGGAGGCAGACCCTATGCTGTCCCTTAGGGTCATGGACAAAGAACTGCCATTTCTGGTAGACATGGGAGCCACGTATTGTACTCTTAACGTGGTTCCACAACAACATCATCTGTCTATCTCAACAGTGACCACTGTGGGCTTCAGACGGACTGGTGGCCTACTGGAACCCAGCCTGACCGACATCCTGGCGGCCTACTCAGCGTGGCGGCCCTGGATCTCGCTCCTAGAGCCCTATGTGCCCCCACCTGACCCTCCTCATGTGACCCTTTCCTACGATAGGGATAGTACTGATTGGTATGAGGAACTGTTTGTTGAGCAACTAGAAGGCCGGCAGTGGCAAATTGCCTCTGAGAAGGTCCCGAAGGGGTAGCCTCAGCCACACTGCTTACCCCAGAACAGCTGCCCTGGTACATGATGGGACAGGAAGCTGTCCCACATGTCTCTCTGGCCCTCCATCCCAAACACCAGGCCAAGGATTTGGGCCCGATGGTGAAACGGGCCAGAGAAACTGAGGACTGGGTACAGACCCAGATCCCACAGGTCTCCTTCTCGCCCTCCTGCAGTACCTATCGCATACACAACACAGGACACAGCCCTCCTGCAACATCACCAGATAGCTTT